GCAATGACTCTAAATAATAATGATCACGCCACCAAACACACATTCAAACTAAAGGAACCAGCCTGTTTGGAAAATGTGAGAAGTAGAAAGTACAGGTATTTGTGTTCAACATGTAAGAAGTAGAAAGTACAGGTACTTGTGTTCAACATGTAAGAAGTAGAAAGTACAGGTATTTGTGTTCAACATGTAAGAAGTAGAAAGTACAGGTATTTGTGTTCAAAATGTAAGAAGTCAAAGTAAAACGTCGTCAGAAGAATAAGTAGTGGAGTAAAGTACTGATACCAGAAAAATGTACTTAAGGACAATAACAAAGTATTTGTACTCCACTACTTCCCACCTCTGTGGAAAATCTTGCAAACCCGCACCTTGCTGAAACCGTCTTTGCTGATATTATCAACATCCCAGGGCTGTTTCTTTTCTTCTCGCCGGTATTCTTCGATCATTTTCTGAAACGACTTCTCATCCTTCTTCAGTTTTTTCACCTCGCCCTGGACTTTCTTCAGCTCAGCCTCTCTCTCCTCATCCTCCTCCTCCTCCTCTCCCTCTTTCTTTCCGTCCTCCAGGTCTTTGAGTCGTCCCTGGCCTGCCTCTAATAACCTCTTGCACTCTGAGATGTTATTCTCCAGCTCTTCCCCTCTCTGTTGAAACGCCACCATCCTCTCCAGCCGGGCCTGTTTCAGGAAGGCCACAGAAGATGAGAATAAATGGGAAAAGAATCACAAGACACAGGTGGTGGGAGACGAGGGGAGGATGAAGGGGATCAGGTCGGGAGAAGAGGCTAAAAATGAAATCAGAAGAAAACTAGAGCAACGGATATATAACCAATGTACATGACACATGACAGAGAACTACCAAGAGCTTCATTCTGCTTTGAGGACTTTCTTTTATTAAAAAAACAATAATGAATCTGTGTCTGATGTGGAAGACGGCTTTCAAATACTTGCCCTATAATGCCTGAAGCTGGACAATGAAATACGGTAATTGGAAGGTTCAGATTTTCTTAGACGTGATTGTATGAGGTACTTATCCAGTCAAGCTGTCATACAGTGGATGACCGTTAGCATGCACCAAGTCTAGAGAAGCATACAGAAGAAAGGGCATGGAAACTAAACAATATCATTATGTGGCAGAGGCAACATGTGTTTAAGCGATCTAAATAAAATCAGTATCTGTTTAAGTTGACCTTGTAGAAGCAGGAGTTGCAGGTCTACTGCTGCATGGGTTGGTCACTTTGTATTATTGTGCGACTTTGGTCAATTCAGAATCACCAAAGTTGCACAATAACAAACCAGTACATGTAAAAACAGTACACTAAAATAATTGAATTGTCAATGGAGTCTGGTTGCTTTTAAAAGAGTGTAAATAATGACTTAAATTCAGCAAAGCTATACAAATATTGTAAATACAATGTCCATTTGAAACAGAGATTTATATTTATGGAGGTACTCCCATCCAAAAGCAGTACATTGCTTAGCCTTTTTTACTTGTACTCCTGTCAGTTTTTTTAAAGAATTGAAGGATACTGTTAAAAAAAAGTGAAATGAAAATGCTACTTGTCTGAAAGTAAGTATGAGCTAAATCTACCTAAAGTATTACAAGTACTAGATGCAGAAACAACTCCTGTAACTTTTATATTATTATATATTATACTTATACACACACATCAGGATTGTACTGTTGTCAGTTGAATTGGAGGTCATGTTGAGCACCACACTAACAAGTAACATGTAATGTAATACTAAATTACTTCTCAGAAAGGCTCCATTCCAGCATTGAACCACATTTTACTTTAGGTACATTTAGAACTGAAAACTTTGATCTCGGGTAGGAAATTAAAAAGACCATCAGGCAATCACAGCAGGTATGATTTCAGGTATTAGTTGTAATACTGGCTGTAACACTTTGAGCTGTTGTTGTCATAGTTATTAACACAACTAAGGTCTCTAGTGCTTATGAATTAGGACCTCAAACAACCAAGTCAGAATTAATTGTTTAACCTCATTGATTTTACTTAAATGATACAAGAGTACCAGCCAAAAACATATCAGCCAGTTTCTATTGTAACTTTCTAACAGCAATCTCTGATTCTGTACAGATATCAGATTCATAAACAAAGGAAGTGGAGGAAAAGACTGGAAACTACAAATCCGTCAAGACCTTTCTCTGAGCGAGTCATGTGACAGCCCTAAACTCATTAGTCACACAGACCCAAAGCCATACAAACTGAGCTTGACCAATGCAGTTAGCAGCCATACTTGTTCCTTTAATGTATTTAATGTCAAGCAACCTGTAATTTTACGCCTCATTATTGATGTTTATGTAAAGTGGTTTGACCCTGAGGAAGAGCAACAAAATCTGTATGGGTTGTGGTTCAGGCAATTAACAGATTAGGTATAAAGATAGAACATGTAAATGAAAACACTGTTGGCAACAGTTCACATCAGGACATCTGAAGGGGTCACAAGTCCCAAAGGTCGGGAATGACTGATTTACGTTAATGTGTTTTCGGTTATACCAAGAGCCTGACTGATTCTTGTTTCATGACATGGATATCTAAATGGGGGAAAAAGATCTTGCAAGTCAACAGAATGAAACAACAGATAGGTCTTTGGAAATGTCAAGAACATTTCTACACACATCTTTGCAAGTACACAGGCTGACATGGAATAGTGAGTAGTTAACATTTTATCTTCTTACCTCTATGAGGAAAAAAAACGATATCTTTAAAGCTCAAAGTTTTCAATTTTCTGCGATGTTAGTGAAAATGCCGGTTGTGCAGGTACAGGCGAACAACGTGCCACCTGAAACCCCCGGTGAAAGACCATCTCTGTTGGTGTGATATGTGACATTGCCTTGCCTTGGCTGTGCAGACACAACCCTCATGATCTGTCATAGACTATACAGTATGAGAACTACCATTATGAACTGCATGATGTTGTGTCTATCACAGTGGCGGCGGAAAGGGGCTTCCATAGAAGTCATTAGAAAATCACAGCTACAATCTTCATAATTTCAGTCCCTTTTCTAGTGTTTTTTGGCTTTATCTTGATAATACTGTACACCTTTGAAGATGTCAGGTGCACATTTAATACTGTCTTTTGTTTCCCCTTTTGTTTTGTAGTAAAAAGCACCATCTAGCCTCCAAAATGTGTGGAGTAAAATTATAAGTAGCATAACATGGAAATGGAAGTATGTAAAAATAGTACTTAAGCACAGTAGGCCTACTTGAATACATCTGCTTTGTTATATTATTCCACCACTGATGCTGTAGTCTTTATCAAGCAGATCACAGACTCCTGTACACCTGTTGGTCTCCTCTCAGTGTATGGGCTCCTCTGGTGGATGTTTGCTACTCATAAGTCACTTCTACTGGTGAAACTAACCTATCCGACTCCAAACACCACAGTTACTACAGTTTCTGACCCGGTGTCTCATCCTGAACAGGCTCTGGGTGTCCACGTACGGACTGGTCACGTCTTCATCGTCCGAGACGTACACGTGATCCCAGGCACTGTAATCGATCCCCGCTCCGGTGCTCATCTTCCGGCTCTTTATGCTGTTTCCTCCACAGGTTTACACTTTCTGTTCACGGTGAAGTAGAGGTTTAGCTGGGACTTTACACCGACATGGCGGCAGCAAATAGGACAGAAATCAATAGTTTGTAAATCCTCTTAGCGAGGCGAGCCGGTTACAGAGATCCCCTCTTATCCAATCAATCACGTCATGACGTCAGCGCGTCGGAGGGTTATTTATTGAAGAAGAAATGTACTCCACATCTTTACTTAGAGTTACAAAAATATGGCACCTAATTACAAAAGAATAAGAAGGCAACTAAAACCAAATCAGTATTTGATAAATAGTTTTACTTGAAATGTTTTTTGTTCCACTATTTTCGTGATTCTTAATATCTCTTTCTTTATTTCTTTGTAATTGTTTTTATTATTATTTTGTATTATAATGTGTACCTTTACCCCTGATTTCAATGTGAGTGTATATAATGTTTGATCTTATGTCTTGAATAAAAAAAAATATATATATATATATTGATATACATAGTGGAAGAAGTACTCAGATTTGTTCTTGAGTAAAAGTAGCAATACTCAATTGTAAAAAAATACTCAAGTAAAAGTCCTGCAATCAAAATCTTACTCAAATAAAACTTCAAAGTATTGGCTTCAAAATATACTTAATGTTCCAAAAGTAGCCTACTTATTGTGCGCAATGTCCCATTTGACCAATTATATAGCTTTTTTCAAATACAAATGCACAGACAGCAACTATAAACATTTGGCCCATAAAAACACATATGCACAAACACATGCATTCATGAGGATGTGTCACAGCAGAGGGACTCCCATCCCATGTTTTGTCTATTTTGTCAAAGGTTTCACTTTCATCCAGTTGTTTGTGCGTTGACAGGCTCCAGGATCAAGTAAATGACACACAAACGACAAAAAAGCTTGCCAACATAAACATGGAAGCAATGTTCAGGAGTTACAGGCCAGGATGCACAGGTTTTTCCTCTGGAAGTGTTTGGGAAGTGATCACACTGTAAACATTCCCACAATATTCAATGATAGTTTGCAAAATAGAAAATAGAAAATCTGTCATTAGGTTCGTTGTACACAAGACTATCGGAGATACAAATGGAGCTGCTTTCTTTCCAGCCTAATATTAATGAAAGGAAAATCTATTCTGTAAATCTGTAAAACATATTTTTGAGGTGGGTTTTATCAGCTATGCCAAGGCTTTTTGATCAGTACTTTCTCTATCATAAATGATCAAAATAAAATTTCCTTTTCCTTTCCTTTTCTCTTCTCCACGTTTTTTCCTGGTCTGAGAGGAGAGGGGTTAACTAGGAGAGGTAAAGAGTGAAAGGGAAATGCATTCATGTACTCCACCCTAAACAAAAACTCCTGGAGTTTCCCGTAACAGCGTCAAAGATCAGAAAGCTTCCAGTGTCCTGAATTAGTCTGGCTAACGGGGCGAAGAACAAAAACAGGAAATCAATAATTAGGTTTTTCCATTTCCCCTAGCAGTTTTGGGGTTTACCCTACTTTCCATTTTGTCACACTAAGACTTAGTCATCATGTCAGACAATCTCAAAAAAGGTTTTTGATATACTTTAGTTAACATAATGAGATAATAAAAGGCAGAACATGTGGTGTTTCACATACTGGTGTGCTGTTTTAACACTCCAGTTCCATGTATTTGTGAAGGAAAATGCAATAAATCATCCATTAAAGACACAGGAATACATCTCATTCTAAAAAGAGTCATTTATTTACATGTTTAAACACACAATTCACTTTCTTATCAAAGATCCAGTTAGTAGTTCTTTATTATACAGTTTTTGTACCCACCATAACTCGCCTCATCTGCCCACACACACACACACACACACACACACACACACACACACACACACACACACACACACACACACACACACACACACACACACACACACACAC